CAGGATATTATGGCAAAATTCATCACGTTACTACCTAAAATAATTTTATGAATTTAAAATTATTGAATGCTAACTCTGCAGCTACTGTTACCTATAAAAAAATCAACTGGGCAGAGAAATTTATTAGTTCCTGGGCAATGACTAATTTTGGGTATCTAATTACAGCATTAGGACATGTAAAGCCCATATCTGTGCTGTCAAATTGTCTTTCTGTTATGTAGTATAATAAGTTACTTTCCAGACTGCCGGCTAGCTTGCATTCCCAAATGAAAAACTCATGTCTGGAGTTTTGCTTTTGCTGTTTTAGAATGCCACAAAATAATGTGATTTCCCTTTAATAATATTCCAGGATATAGCTGCTGTTTTTTGTTTCTTCCTGTGCATTTGGTATAACTGTTCATTTCTCTGAGGGGTAGGAGGTAAAGGGGGAGAAGAAACAAAAAAGGAAGGCATTTCTTTTGCTTTTCTTGATTTTTGTTTGGTCAGTGTCAGCAAGAGTGGTGTACTCATCTAAGTAATTAATTCTACATAACGTGTTTCTCTGATTGTAAATTGAACCTAAGAATATCACAGCTTTTTGCACATATGGCGTAACGACCTGTAATCATTAAGCCTATGCAGTTGTCCTTATACTGTTATTTTACTTTATATTGTATATATATTTTGTTTTCTGAATCAAATGCATCATCAGTTGACTTGATCTGTGATTTGTATGTGAAAATGTGACAGATAGAAGAGGTTTTCAGGTACGGAAGGTAAAAAACACAGGGAAATAAATATTGAGTTTGCACTTGGAGATTTCAGAATACCAATTCACAGACACATATATTTTGTGTGGAATTTTCTTTGATGATTTTTGTTTTCAGTTTTGTTTTGGTTGTTTTTTTTTTTATGTCAACTGTCTTTCTCTTGAACTGTTTTAACTGGATTTGTTACATTTCACAGAAATTGTACAGCTGTTTTTTGTACACATGCTTACAGATCTGAGAGAAAAATCATCGGGCTGAGAAAAACTTGGTGCCTCATTTTTTTTTGTGTAAAGTCCCATAGCCCAGTTCTACCAGCCTTGGGAAAAGAGAATAGAGATCAACTATAGATGAACCATTTCCCTTCTTCTACCTAGAAATTTCACTTTTTTTTTTCTGCCAATTGCCAGGGGACCGTAGGAGTTCTTCTGGCAATCTATCAACCCCCTTCTTCAGAAGGATAAAACAAAATACAACATCCAATTTTTCTTTCTGATACTAGCCCATTACTCTGTCTTTGGTCTCCAGGTCATTACACCGTTATTCCTACAGTGCTGAATGATATAACATTGGCAATAGACTAAGCACAGGTAATGAAGAAAGAAATAAAAACTTTACTACCTGATTATTTATATCTAAACAATACTGTTAATTTGAAGCTGTCTGGATTTTGAAAATGGAAGAATTTGTTCTGGCAGGGAGGAAATCTAGAGGGCAGAGTGCAGAGGGAGAAGTCAGAAAGTATACGAGAAATTCAATTTATTACAGGTTCCATAACTAATTGTCACTCTGTCACTGTGGGACTGAAAAGGTTTCCTGCGGGATGTGACAAAAGATGTGTAGAGCTGTGTTGATTCTGCATCTGCAAAACTGAATCATTCAAATTAATTCAAATATGTGGTCAGTTTGATTATGGGAGATGGGGGACATGGAGATTCAGGACAAGTCTCCGCTACTAAGGGTGCATCTCCTCATGATGGTGAAGCATACGTGCTTCGCATCACTGTGCTCATACTGGTTTCCTGGGAATTCATTATAGTGACTTGCTGCCACACTAAGCCGTAACTGCTCTGCTGTAATGATTTCCAGCAGTGCTGGTGGAACTTCCCCACCTCATTTTATTTAATTATTTATTTTAATTTTAAGTTACTCTAACAGTCTCTTGGGATACACAATTCATTTTCGTGAGGGCTCCCAGGGGACAGCAATAATACAAGTCTACTCTGCAGTTGCATACATCATTATAACAAAAACCATAAAGCGGGACACTTAATCTGAAGCTGCAGCCAAGAGCACCGAGCAGTCGGCATCTCAGTACGTTAGCTTAAGGCAACAGTTTAAGGGATTTCAGAAAGTTCAGTCCTTTCTCTTTAGTCACTCTCAGTTCAAGTTTGTCTATTCTTTGCTTTAATGTCTGTTCTGCGTTAACCATTCAGGGTCTTTCCATCTGTACTCCCCCCTGTAGACAAACTCTGCTGTCTTCATAGCAGAGTTGAGGTTTCTTCTGGGGGGGTGGGGCAGGTTTTTAATTAAAGTTTGTGCTAGACCTTTACTAGGAGGGTGCTGAGTAAGTAAGAATGAGGACCTTTGTACTGAGCATTAATTAGACTTTGGTTTTAAAAGATGTTTACCAGAGCGAAAACACTTCAAAGTATCTTCAGTAAAAATCCTTCCTCTTTTAACTGTTGAATTTGTTGTAGCAGAAACAATTCTCCAGGCTTCACAAAAAATTCAGAAACAGTTCAGGCCTGAACTTCTAAGCATGATTATAACAGGAAGTAGATGCCATTGTAATCTTTCTTTTTATTATTATAGTTTTAGAAAATATTTGTTCAGCATAAAGAATTTTAAAACTTTAATTTGAGAGACAGGTGTTTAACAGTTAATCTCTGAACTCAGTTAAATAACAGTGGTTTTCGCAAAATTTAAATGTAATGCCTCCCAGTTAATGTTAATGCTGAGAAGAACAGATATTTTTGAGATGAAGAAGCCCTTCATAGTTTGCTGCTTTTTTCTCTTATTTTCTCTATGTCGTATATGAGTCAGACTGTAAAATAACACAGTTTACAGACTCCATTTTGGTATTTTTTTTTATTTTTTTCTATGGATGATTTCCGAGGGAGGAGGAGAAACAAAGTTCTGTATAGTAAATCTTGATTTGTTGGTATCTTCTGCACTGCTTTATATTTACTCTTTTATAAGGCAGGAATTTTTCACCATCACCATCCCCACAGTTTTTATAAAGGAAAGTTCAGCAGTAATGATTTCAAATACCTTTTAAATGTGCCATTCTGAGAAAACTCAATGCATTTTATATACCATTTTTAACTTATTATGCACTGCTTATAGTCTTATGAACTGCTCCCAGGCATTTCCCAAGATGGAAACAAAGGGAAGAAAAATAATACTTGAATGGATAAAACTGCAGCCTTATCATTTTGTGAGGTACTGCTTAATTTTAATGTACATCTGAAGTATAACAATGACTAACCTGTTTAAATAGCTCATCTGTAAATATAGAAATCTTTAGAAGGAAATTGCATGCCTCAAGCCAAAAACTGATTCCTAGCAAGAATCAGGAAAGAATGCAGAAAGGGAAGGAAACCAAGGAAGAAGATTATATAGTTAGAAACAAATATGAGACCCAGAATGTCTGGATTCTGTCCCTGGTATAACTTAGACTTCATATAACATTTAACTGTGAAAAATTCCTATTAAATCACATTTGTACTTAAGGTAATAATACGTCATGTTGTATGCATCTGTTCTGAGATGGGATGTGAGGCTTTTAAGAGACCAATGGCTTGGTATTTGTAGGGGTTGAAGGGCGATTACATTGATATGGAAATAAGAAGCAGGGTAATACTAAATGTTTAAAAATTTATTTCCTTAGTGGAAAATACCACACAGAGTTTCCTTTTGACCTTCTGCTCAGCCTCCAGAGACTGGAGTTCTTCCTTTACTTCAGCATAACCCACTGTCCTGAACTGAGTAATAACAATGGAAAATATGTGCTTTCTGGGTATTTCCAATGCACAAAAGTCTTGAAGTATTCCTCCATTATTCTGATGAGAAACTGTACTTAGATGAATACAGAAGAAAGCATGGTTGGACTTTCAGTATTATAGATTTGAAAGAAGCATAAGGGAAAAAATCTGCAGCCAAAAGACTGGTGATGACTTTCCTTTCACTGCAGTATTTTTCAATCTGATTTCTAATGTCTTGTTTGGTTCCTGGAGATTTTGAATTTCTTCTGTTGTGTTCCCATGAAATTTAGAAATAAAATTAGTTTAATTGTGTTTCTGTTTACATAACTTGTAATGGCTTTATAATACTCAAACAAAGCCAATATCGGAAGACAGTTCTAATTTTTGTAGATTTAATTGCATGTTTTGAGACTCCTTATTGACTGATCTTTGATATATTAAGATAACTGAACAAACAGTTACCTTAGGGTAACTATTTCTCTGAGGTTGAAGAGTTGTTTTATTTCTTTCAAGGTACTTTGCTTTAAGTGCTACATCAAATTCCATGCACATTTTCACATTATACTATTGTAGTATAAAAGGTTACATTTTCCTTTTTGAAGTGGAGAATATATTGTCACTGGGAACTTGGATGATTTTATAAAAATAATACTGATCACCCAAACAACAGTACCTGTACTTTCTGTCAGTATTAAATACTTTTGCATGGTTCCAGTATGATATTAGTTTGAATTTATGTAAAGCACATGGTGTAAAAGTGCACATTTTGACTGAAAGTTCCTGTCAGCATGCTCTAATATTGACTCAGTATCCTCAAAGCCTGTTTTGGAGGCTTTCTTTGGAAACCCATCATAGCCTTGATATTTTTCACTGTGTTGGATCACTATACGGTGTACAGAAGATTAAGAAACCATGTGAAATGAATTACCATTCCCTACCTATCTAATAACACTGTAGCAGTGATTTTATTTTACTGCCAGACCAGGTCAGTGATTTGCAGGTAAAGCCCAAAGAAGCTGTGCTGAATCAGCCAGTTTTTAATAATTTGAATGCTTTCATAGCTTGGAAGAGCCATGCTAATTCTTAAGGTATTTTAATAAAAACAATCTGAAAACAGTTTTACAGGAAGGATAGAAAAGAAACATTTGTTAAAATAAGAGTATTTGAAAGACTGGTTAGTACAGCTGTGAGTATAATCTAAGGTCAGAAACCTGAAAATTGCTGGTTTTAGTGATGAGTAAGCGGCTTTCTTTTCTTTTCCTATTAGATAGAAAATGGTCGGCTGTGGAACTCTATTGTGAAGATCTCAGAAGAAATATCAATTTTTCCAGAAAGCTTTTCATAATGTAAATATAATTTGAGCTTTCCCAAATGGGCAGATAAACAATGAACAAGCAGAAAACCCCATTTTGGACTGTATTTCTGAACCAGGCTTCACCTTCTGTCTCGGGAACTTATTAAAGGATTACAGCTGAAAAAGACAAGATAAAGAAAACCTTGAACAGGAATTTTATCCTACAATGAGAATTACAAGTACATCTTGTATCTGCCCAGTCCTAGTTTGTCTCTGTTTTGTGCAGAGGTGTTACGGAGCTGCTCACCATGGCTCCATCAAGGTGACTAGAAATCAAACCAAACATGTAGAAGGCGAAACAGAAGTGCATCATCGTCCCAAGCGTGGATGGGTGTGGAATCAGTTCTTTGTTTTAGAAGAACACATGGGACCAGATCCTCAGTATGTAGGAAAGGTAAGGTCATTGTCTTCTTTTTTGTTTTGATTTTGTTCTTCCCATCCCCTGAAATGTGGCATTGATGGAAGAAATCTAGGTATCTACTTAGATAGCACCTCCTTTTTTTTAGAGGAGGACATGTCTTGGTTTGCTACATACACACACAGTGAACTTGCCTGTTGTCTATGCACACTTTTCATGTTCATTACAAAGAAAAAAGATAAAGTAAATAGGATGAAGATATTAAAATATGATAAAATAGCACTTCTTCTGAGCTCATTTAAACATCGAGTGAGTGCAGCTGATCCTTTTACATCAGAATCTAGAACCCCAAATTCATGGGGCTTAAATATGTCAGTGCTAAAGACTTTTCCAGATTATTTCAGGGAATATTATAAATACAGTCTAGGGGTATTCATGCCACTCTGAGGGTAGGGTGAAAAACGACTCCTCTGCAGGAAAATCCTCTGTGACTTTCTTCATAAAAAGAGGCAGAAGGTGTGTTACTTGTTATAGTTCCTCAGAAGCCTGTGAGAACAAGCCCTGTATGTACATTTTGACATGTGTAGGGAGCTTAAGGCATAAAGTTCATGATGATGCAGTTGTAGGCTGTCCAGCTGAAGTCTGGTTTGCTCATGTGTGATGTTGTCTATAGAGCTTGGGTTTAAAATCTGCATTAAAATAACACAAAACTGTATATATAGCTTTATTACAAGATACATGACAGATGGAGCTTTTCTCCCCTTGAATACTGTCTTTCAACATTATAATACATTTTTTTATTACGTAATTTAGACGAATCTTAATGTCCTTAATGAAAATGGAGAAAGACATTGAATATGAGGAGTGAAGAAAGTTGGTTAATGGGGATGAGGGCATGGAAAAGGAATGATTTCGTTTTAGTTTGCCTTCAAGTTGAGAATCCTGAAAATTATATCTCAGAGTATGAAAAATATCCAAGGAAACCAGTAGCTTCTGAAATCACAGATGTCTGGTAGCAAGGGCTTTCAAATCTGAACAGTACTATCTGAACTAAAAATAGCAAGTGGAGCATCTGTACTTAAGATGCTGTTAACACAAAGACAAAAAAAAAAAAAAAAAAAAAAGTATGTTTAGTTATGCCAGCCTTAGTAAAATACCAAGTATTTAAGCATACTGAAAATCATTGAGATTTGTGCAGGAAATGTAAACTGGGGAAGGACCTTTCTAAATGGAGATAGCAGGTTGCATTGGAGGCGAAGCTTTTAAAATGGGTCAGGGGGTGAGAATATATGCTTCCAGACCCATCTTAGACTGATTAACTTTTTAATGAATGATTTTGAAATAGAACATTTTACAGACATGTTGCTGAGGCAAAGCCATGCAGGAGCATCCAAATATTGTCTGGAAAGAGCTAGATAGCATGAAAAAGATTTGGATATGGAGTTAAAGAATAAACCTCAGGACCACGATGTGATAAGGCTCTTACAGAACAATATAATGAATATCTGTTATACACTACTGGTTTGTCAGGTGTAATGACAGAGGAAGAGAAAGATCTGGTCACCAGATCAATTATTGCCTCTGCTGTCATACTTTAAAGAAGGTAAATACAATACTAAGCTGCAAAAGCTGAGATAATCAAAACAGAGATAAAGTGTTATTGAAGCCGTTGTGAAAAATAATGTTAACCTGTCTATTGCTCTGATTAGTTTTGGCCAAGAAAAATGAATTTATATATGAAGCCATACCGAGAAAATTTAATACTATTGTTGGGGTATTGGTGGAGAATAAACTATGTTTGTTTAATTAATCCCTTAAATAGTAGTGGAGAGCATATATTATTCTATAAATACACTTCAGAAGAAAGAACAAGAGAAAGAGAAGAGCTATTTAAGTTGATTCAGCTTTTACTTTAAAAAAATTAGGTTTTGGTACCCATGAGTTAATTAGAATAGAAATAAGAAAATAAGTAAGGTCTTGAAAGAGTCTACTAATAGGAAGAATGGAAACAAAAATCTGAAGGAGTTTCAAAGTAAAGCGTGTTTGTCTTTGTGAAAGCATTTACAGACATGATTGCATGCAGGAACAGAGGCCTGGATTCAGTGAGCTAAAGGATGGTCCCTTTCAATTTTATGTTCCTATGATAGCATTAGATATTTTCTTTCATCCTCTGACCACTCTATTAATGCTACATTTACAGAGATCAATGAATAGGATTTCTTTTAATCCTTAGTGGTCAGAATGTGACTACGTGCCTTGTTTGAGGACATTTCTTCCTCTGTACTTAACAATTTTTCTCCTCATTTACTCAAAGAATTCCCTGCAGTGTTCATGATTTTCTACTCTGAGTAGTTCACATTAGTAAGCTCATCTTTGCAGAAGCTTTGTGGGACTTAGAAGCATATGTACTCTATTTGCCATTTGTTGTGATGATTCTGGTGACCTGATTTACTGCAAAGATCAATCATATTAGCTCAGGCATATATTTTTAATTCAGAAAAAAAGGAAAGCCTGAGGCTGACATAATATTAGTAAATAGCAAAATTTCAGTAGTGGTCATTGTGCATGAGTTCCTTTTCATTTTGAAAAATAGATGTTTTACTGATGTTGCATTTAATTGTACACACCTCATCAAGGTGTCATTCTACGTGCCTTTAATTTGACAAGAGGATTTCATGTAAAGCCCCTCAGTTTATGAAGAAAGACTATGGACGTGTGCTCTTTAATTCCAGGCTTCTGTTCAGTGGCAGCAAGATATCAATTCTGTCAATTATTAATTCTGTAGAGTACTCTGCTCTACTGGTGAGAGTTTTGACATTTTAGATGTGTCCTTTCACATTTTTCACACCCAATTTGGGCATAACATCACAGAAAGCAGAGTCATTATGTACAATGATGTTATAATGATTACAGTCATTGTCATGGAAATGCACACTGAGGACAAGAATAGGGTATGCCTGCAATGAAAATGGTAAGGTTTCTCATTCTTACCATGAAATGACTGTCAAGAGGATGGATTAATATACTGCCATCATCTGTTATACAGCAAGTGTTAGGACAACAAGTCATCATTATATTTTAATATCAAGCATATCCCCATTCCTCAGTCATTTCTCTAAAAAAAATGCCATTTGGAGACTGGAAATCCATATAAAATTAATCTGTATTAACCCTACTCAGAAGATTTTTATAGGAGCATGGCAAAACACAGATCCTGGAAAAATGAGATCGTGGCACAAATCAAATATGATCCTTTTGTGGATGTTAAGTATTTTCTGTGGTTTGGGGATTACTAAACTGGTTCCCTGCTGTTGCACTTGGGTTAAGTCTTCAGTGTTTCAGGGTATGTTTTCCTGAACAAATAGCTTCAAAAATAGTTTTGTATTAAAAAAGATATCTTTAAATAGTTTAAAACCCCAGTGACTTCTTTTTCTAAAATGATGAATTTTTGGGGGATGGTTTCTTGAAAACTTCCCAGTGATCAATAATAACTAATAATGTTAGTTTGACAGACTGCTCATCTGGGGTTGCAAGTATGTCTGTGTGTGCATGCAATGGAGAAACTGGAAATATGATTAAGTGGGAATAAATATCCTTGTCTCAGATAAGCAGCTTGAATCTACATAAGTGAGCTTTCAGCTACATGTGACTTCTTGAGTTTTGCATCTCTCTGATGAAAATTCTTCTAATGAAAACATAGCTGTGAGCATGGAAAGAGGCGGGGCTAATAAATGCACCATGGCATGGTGAGGAGTTGGGTGCCAACTACATCAACTCAGAGGAATGAAGATTCTCCTGAGCAAATCCAGAAAAACTGGTGATATAGGGCTGCAAATTTTAACATTTCTCAGTTGCCATGGCTGGTATAGTTTGCATTTCTCTTGCATTTTCGGCATGCTTCCAGGTCAGATAATTCACGTCAGGATATGGAAAACAAATAACAAAAAAATAATTTTAGGAAAGAAATGAAACAGTGTACATGTTTTAGTCCTTAACATTCGGAAGTTTGAACCTTCACAGCTCTTTGTTTCCAGAAGATCTGGTCCTTCTGATATTCCTTAAAAGTGAGTTGGTCTGGAAGCAAGTCATAACTACACATTATCCTTTTTACTTCGGAGAGAGAAGTAAACGTGCAGTGGTAAAGGGAGGACCAGTGTTGGTTTGAGGCTGAGTGAGTCAACCTATTAGAGGGAATAACAGAGGAATATAATGAACAAGATTTACACTTGATTTCTCTGTGGACCATTTGGATCTCTGAAATACTGAACATACAATTCTTAATCCGCTTCAGATGTCCTCTAAAGATAAACAGGAATGGCTTTTCAGGTATTCAACTCTGTTGTTTTTCAATTGTATTTTTATTCCCAAATTAGGGGGGTAAGGGGAGTGACACTTTACTTATGTCTTAAATTTTGACCTGTAATTAAAAAACACTTCCAGATTTATGTTGATGAAGGAGAAAATGAAGTATGGAACAGTTTGAAATGAATGTGAATACAAGAAAGGGAAGATGAAAGTATCAGCTTTTAAATCGTCCAGAAAGTTAGATTAGGAAAGAGATCCCAGGTGTTACATTGGATTTTTAAGGCAATAATTCTATTAATTTTTTCTTTTACTCTTGAAAACAGAAATACAGCATAACAGACATGTCATTCCAAATTCTTTTCCAAAGTAATACAATATGTCATTGCGATAAATTAATTCTGATAGAGGAGAGTGAATCTAATCTTTCCTGATCATATCAAGACAATTTCACATCTCAGATTTAATGACAGTAAGGGGAAAATATGTATACTTCAGAATAACTGCTAAGGAAGAAACAAAACTGGAGTTTTACAATTAAAATGCTTTTACTCAATGTTAGAGGTTTACATAAAGCATATCAGATGTTTCAGCATTTTAAACATAAGCAAACAGTTCCAAAATTTATTCTGATAAAAACGTGTTTTTCTTTTATGATAAAGAAAATGAAATGGAAATTGTAGATGTTATAGTCTAAAGATTTTGCACATGGCTTGTTAGCCATTTTCATGTCT